TCACCTATAGCGTGCATGTCATTGTACGTGTGCAGCAAATACAAAAAAATCACAAGGAAATACGCTAAGCGGCATTGGGTCAATAGCGTTGCCATGACATGCTCCCAAAACTTGTCTTGTTTGCGCTGCTGTGGTGCACCGCAGTGGGCCCTGTGTGAATTGGTTACCTGTTGCGTCGTTCTTTCGTCCATGGCATGATCTTCTGAAGGAAGCGTCGCAACCAATGGAATCAAACCTCTTGCCGGCGACGCTGCAAACCATTTTGCTCGCATTCTGGTGGTGGAATGGATCATTTTTTGCTTCTCAGCCACCCAACTTATTTTGTGAAACTACGTCCATGAACGCAATCCTTAGCCTTTATACAAGAAGACATTCTTTTTCTGGTTTGTTTTTTACATCGTCGTCATCATTAAGTGTCACCTACAGCCCAGCTGCTGGCATTACACTGTCCGCACACTGGTGGCTGCAAACGAGACACTTGCGTGCTATTTTAACGCGACTCAGTCCGAAAAATGTTCTTACTCTGAAGATTTGGGATGCTGAAGCATGAGCAGAGCTGGCAAAATCAGACCGACTCCGGTTCCCACGCATGTGTTGTGATGCTGACTAATGAGGGATGCCTGAACGTCTCGCAGTTTCTAGCCATTCCGAATACCGGGCGGTTTTGGGATGTTGACAAAATGACACACAGCCATACTGTTAAGACTCTTCAAAGATCATGAAAGAGACATACCAGTAACGACTGGAATGACGTTACTTGAAATCGTAACGACCGTTTCTTCATATTTGCCGGTCGGCACAAACATTATGGTGAGTCTCGATGGTTTGTGTTGCGGATTGCGACTGTTGATTCGTTCCGATGATCAATGTAAGCATGGCAACTCACATCCATTGTTTTAACAAAGCATTCGGAAACATTTTTCCCGACACGTGGTCGTTTTCGCCCAGCCGCCCCCAGCCGCCAGGTGTCAGCTGTGGGGTCCAACGCTGCCCGGTTAATGGAGACTGCAACGCCAGGAGTCAGTTAGTTTGCGCCTGAAACACTGCCAACACCTGGACTAAAAACGTCACCTGAAAGATGCTTACCGAAAATGCTCTTGAGTTACAGACCAGAGACAGTACTGAACCGGATGAGTCATTTTCGAAAGGCACTAATGCGCCTGGATCGAATTGGGCCTGTTCTACTTGCCTTCGTCGCTTTTGCGAGATTAAAATCTCAGTGGCCTCCTTTCACTTTGATTGCTGATTTGCCATTTTTAAGCTGCAGCGTGTATTTGCTCTCCAACATGTCTGTGGGGGAGGATGGGGGCGGGGGGGGAAGATTCAGCAAAGAGGCCAGCAGTGCCCCAGCTGAGTGTCTGCTGACTGGAGGACCCTCCTGAAGTACCATCGACCTAACCGAGCACAGAGTGTCACATCACTATAAGTATCCAAACAACTTCATACCAAATAGTATGTTGTATATATAACATGCTTTTATCATGCTTGCTGATTAACGTGTTGAAGGAAATGTTTCACATTTGAAGATATTAAAGCAAGCATCAGATATGGAGAAACAAGCTCACCTTATAACTGTTGATATGCTTTTTAAGTGGAAAAGATGGCTCTAGATAGCCCAATTCCCTGCTCAGTAAATACATTTTCAATGCGTCATAGTTTGATTACGTCATCGTGCCTTTCACGACACTGATTGAGAGCCAATGGACGGCTGTATATTTGGAAATTGCCTCCACGAAAGCCAGATGTGAATGCCTCGACAACTTATTTTTCTTGGCCTTGATCGCCGGATGGCTTATGGAATAGCAGGATTTGCATGACGTTATTATGACGTCATGAGTGCCAAGGTGACTTTGAAATGCTCCCTCGATATACCTTTCCCACTTTTGCGGGCGTGTAGCTCAGAAGCTAAGGGGGCTCAAGTCTTAAGAAGGGCAGGATTGTGAACATCACCAAAGGTCTTCAAAATGGCTATTAAATGTGAGACACTCCCTTTAAGTCAGTCTGCAAATGATTGACAAGCTTTGCTATACGCCAGAATTAATAATATATTTCTTATTATTATATTAATAATTATATTAATAATTAACAATTAATGAGATAAGAATAATAAGCTTTTGATAAGATAACGCCAGAATTGGCACACAAAGAATGAACGCACGTTTCCCCAACAGTGGCAAGTGTGTTTGTAGTCTAATCGTGGCTGTTTAGTTAAACAACTCAATCAGCGGCGGCGAAGTCATCGGTGATTTCTTACTAAGAATTGCTAAGCTTTTTGTGAGTTGCGCCCCATTCAAAGCGCTTCCATTAACTTGAAATGGTACAGTATTTCTCTGCCAAAAAACAAGCTTTGATATGCGAAATATTAAAACCTTTTTCAATTCTAACATCGAAGACACAAGTTCAAACGGTCGAAATCCGGGAAGCAAGCAGGGTTTCGGGTTCAACCTTTTCGGCTGAGCCCCCCCCCCAAAAAAAAAACGATGTTAGGAAGTGACACCCCTGGTAACGTGTCTTCTCCCAAGTCGGATGCCCCATAGCAGGGGTTTAGTTTCTTTTTCAGTCAGGGGGGGGGGGGACAGGGGCTTTGCCCCACCCTCAGTGTTTGAGAAATAAGTGGGCCAAATCCGGAGAACACTCCGTTTGTTGACGTATTTTGGGATAGATTAAGCCATTTATCACAGCAAGGGCTCCTTTTTTTCTCACCGACGAAATCTGTAGCTGTCTAAATTGTCACGTGGAGCCAAATCTTTCAACGACTGTTGCAATATTGCTCTAAATGCAATACACTGCATAAAACAAAGACAAATAAAATGTAGGCCGGCATGACCATCAAACGTGTTTTTTTCGGGAGTTCATTAACAATAAAGTATCATTTCCTGGCCATCAAGCTCTGAGTGATGGTTGGGACTTAAGTAGTGGAATTATCAGAGACAGGTATACTTAACATAATTAGCCTAGAAGCGTGTAGCTTTTTATTCGATTTGGGGCAGTGGTGTGACTCCTAACCAGTGATGAAATTTCCTATTTTTATTTATCCTTTTTTATCCGCGTTTTTCATGAATCATGATTTTTGCGAGTTCAGTCCAAAACTTGTTGTGAGAAGCTACAGCGGTGCTCCCAACTTCGAAAGAAAGTGCGTCAAATATGGAGATACCACTGTTTTAAGTGCATTGCGGAGGCAGGCTCAGCCATTTTTCTTCCTGTCCCACCCTTTTCCTCACCCCTACGTATCTTGCAAAACTGCATCCCTGCAGTCCTACAGTTATTCATAACATGGTTCTACAAGCACCTGAAAACAATTTCACCTCTGGCTTTTGACGTCATCGCACCGCCAGTTGGAAGCGTTGGCGACCTTTACTATCTTCGCATAATCATTACCGGCGTGAAACCCGCACTTCCCAATATGGCCACATTTGATAAGTGCGATGCCCTTGCGATTTTGGTATGAGCAGATGCAGACGGCTTTTTAAACACGTCTAGCACCTTCATTTAGCTCTGTATACAGTATGATGACAATTAAAAGCGTTTTATCTCACGCTTGTCCACGCCCAGCACACCAGCACTAAACCACAAAGTATGAGGTGCTGCGGGCAATTTGAGGCCTACACCAGCGATGCTCGGCATCTTACTTTAAAGCAGCAGAAAGCCCCTGGTGAGTCCCTGACATGTGTCGCTCCTATGTCCTCTGTTGACCTCTGAAGCTACAGTTCGGGTATCCACTTACAACAAGCCTCCTAACTGACGATTGGCTACGTTTTTCAAGCCAGCCAGCTGCTCACGATATGGACGCAACGAACAGCGGCTCACAGCCTTGCATGGAACTCGATTCATCACCGCGTGGCAAACATTTGAGCCCATCTGTTTCAAACGGCACGACGCCTTAAAACGCCGCTTACCAGACGTAGTAAACTGATCACGTCCGTCGTAAGATGCTGCAGCCAGGCACGATTCTTACCACGTGTAATTCTGTGAAAAGCACCGATCTGAGCGGTGTTAAAGAGCGCTGTGTCACCACTGATCTGTGACGTCAGCACTGATGAAACATGGTTTATAGTATATTTCTGTCACCTGCTAAAAGCTGTCCCGATTAAAGCTACTATTTTTGGCAAAATCTTGCGACTCAAATTATTCATAAAGTGAAGCACCAGCGCTTCGACATGTAGTTCATGCGTACTCATGCTACAAGCGCTAGCGAGTACACACCAACACGAGGCTTTAAACTTCGTCCAGTTTAGATGATCTGTTGTACTATGGCCTGGTCTATTGTAATTTACTTTTTGGGATTTCATCACCTCTTGGCCCGTAAAAGCGTCTGTTTTTATTACTGATCATATCCGGTAAATTAGAAGCTTTCCCCTGGTCCCCCACTCATTTTGCCAACCTGCGGCCCCACCTCATATTTGTTCCTCTCTCCGAGCCAACGCTGATAGGCCCAATGTTAAATTATGAGAACTTAAAAGAGCTTTGTCTCCCTGCCACACCCTAAAATGCCCTGATTGGATAGAAAATGGTGTCCTCGGTCGTACTTGCAAGTGACAGACCGCAGACCTCCCGTCGTTTCTGTGTTTAACCCTCGGAAAAAAACGTCTGCAGCTGAGGACATATTCACTCGAGCCATACCATCTCGTCATCGGTCCTGACCTGCACCACGGGAGCTGAGGAGGCATTAATCGAGATCGATGCCAGCATCCAGTCGAGCAAAAACAGCCCAACAAAAGAGGTCACCTTTGAGACACTCAGCGATGACCTTGCCTCCAACTCGTACAAAGCAGAACGCCCCCTCCCCCTCTCTTTAAAAAAATGCGGAAGCCATACGCACCACCGCTCTTCTTGTTTCCATCCAACGGCTGCTGATCGCGCTTCTCTCGAGCGACCAGACACCTCCCAGCAACCCTCCCGGCCTTCGCCTCCGCGGCCGTTTTTGGCTCCGTCACTACTGCCATCTAGTGGTAGGTTTAAAAAGTGACGGACACTCGTCGGCTGCGCCATTTTCGCAGCTGTATTCGGCGTTGGAGCACGCGGTGGTCGCTGCTGTGCGGTGCGAAGTGTTGGCTGGTCGCGTTGGTTCTCCCCATCGTTCTTATCTAATACCTGTACTCACGATTAATGTCAAGATGGTGTTCTTGTCTGTATTCGGCGAGAAGATCAGGGTGAATTACCGGTTCAGCCCTTTCTACTACTCTGACTTTACCGACACGCACGGAGCGGTGGCGCCTTGCACCTAGAGCGCTCTAGGTGCGTCTCCCGCGGTGACTGTAGCAGAAGGACTATTGTCTCAATCTCGCGTGGTGTCACCAATCCGTGTGGTGTGAGGTCCGCCAGAATGGCCGCCGGACGACGAGACGCAGCAATGGTAAGCGAGGCGAGACGCCAGTGGCACAGCGGCCATGTCAGCGGACACGACGCCCGCGGGTACTTCCGGTCGTGAGCTGATTTGTGTTGATCTTATAATTGATTGGTTAATGCGTGACGTGGAGCTGCGCGTGGTGGCTTTGCTGTGTCGCTGGTTGGAACTGGGTAATTCTACCTCGAGTGTCTCCTGCGTGAGAACATGGTTGGATCACTTCTCCGATGATTGGCGCGCGAAACCTGTTCCCTCGATGCAAAACACTCGCTTATGTGATCTCAGTGAAGCTGGTCACCGGTTGCTTCATACGGAACCCACTGCATAGTCCGTGACGTGCGTGAGATTGGCCGATGCTTTAAACTTCCTTACGGGTCACCGATCTCTTCCATGCCTTTGGTTCGACAGTCTGGGCTTGGGGGCATATTATGTAAGAATTGTGGGCTAGTTCAGGGCACCAGGGGCCGTTGCTAGTAAGAAAGTATTTGTGTCAAGTATGTGTCACATTTCAAGCTTGTGTCACATTTCAAGCTTGTAGGGATCTCCCTTCCCCGGGACAGCTCGCCCTGAGCGCGCCTCTGGTCGTCGGCCGCGTGCGCCTCCGCCGACGAGCCGCCTCAAACCGGTTTCGGCCGGTGGACGAGCGGGCAGGCGCGACGCCGTGCCTTAGTGTAGTTTCATCGACCGATACTACGCGGGCCCATGAGCGATGGAAGCGGGGCTGGAAGCGCGAGCTTGCCCCGCTGGCTGGTCCTGCTGGGACCTCTCCGCTGCCGGCGGGCCAGGACCACCTGCGTTGCCGCGACGTCGGGCCCCCATGGCGTCAGCGTCGGATCGCGACGGGTCCTCGCGGCTCGCCGCTCTCGCTCGCCGGCGGTCACGCACAGAAGCCTTGTACACCGTTCGGCAGCTGCTGTCTCCCACCCAGTTAGGCTGGCTAGAAAGCTGTTGAAAACACGAGGAAAGTCCAGTCCCGGCCTTCGCGAACGCGATTGACCACCAATGGCACTGGCTGGCCAGGGGCGAAGCAAGGCCGCAAAAGCGGGGGGAGGGGGTCCTTGCTCGTGCTTCGCGCGCCTGGTCGTGGGATCAACGCTCCACGTCAAAGAAATTTGGATAGAGGTGTGGTCCAGCTCCTGGCTCGTGTACATGTGACGCCGGGGATGATCGCCTTTCTTCGCTGACGCCCCTGACCAGATCTCACATTGCCCAGGACGGGCGCCCGTCAGCAACGCTGACATCTGTGCTACACCCGGCCACGCGCGTGACACGTGACACATGACACCCGTGCTGACACGTGTGTCTATGGTTACAGTCTCCGCTGCTCAAGTCGTTCCTGGCCGGTTCGTTCTCGGGCTCGTGCTCGACCGTCCTGTTCCAGCCGCTTGACCTGGTCAAGACGCGCGTGCAGGCGGCGGTCCTCAGGGGGTACGTCCGCACCCCTGCCGTGCCGTGCCGTGCCGTGCCGCGGCGTGCCGTGCCGTGCCGCGGCGCCCTCTCGGGGTGCAGCTGCGTGTCCGGGCGGTGGGATAGATGGCCAGCTGGGCCCACGTGAGGTTTTTACGTGATTTAGCTCACCTCGTTTCTGCTGGAGTGATGGATGTTCAGGCTGTGGCGAATGGGTAACGTCGAAATGTGATATTTGCGCTGTGGGTACGGATCTTTGATTTTTTATGCTGGTGTGGAGAGGTTTTTTACAAATTGGAAGTGTACGCCAGTTAACGGCGCAGTCTTATTTCGAACTTTCTATTATTCTTTTATTATTCTTCTTTATAATTTATATCTATTCTTTATAACATTATAAGTTTTAACTATTCAACTCTATAAGTTATATCTATGTATATATATATATATATATATATATATATATATATATATATATATATATATATATATATATATATAATTATTTCTAACTTTGCACCGCGATTGACGGCGGCCGTCTGGCGTTTCAGGAATAGTCCTTCTGGTATGGCCACCGTGATATGGAGTGTGATCAAGAATGAGAGCCCGCGTGCTCTCTGGAAGGGTGTCGTGCCGGTACGTGACGCGCGGCGGCGCCGGCCGCGGTCGTGGCCACATCCCGCCACGTGGCGCGCCCTTGTCGCTGGAGGAGGAGGGGGGGGGGGGGGGGGGGGCTCTCCCGCTGTGGTGGGGTGTTATGTAAGACGATGTGTGTTGTGTGTGAGCGGTGTTTTGCGAGATGACTGGGGGGCCGTTCTGGGTGACGGCTCAGGACAGTAAGCAAGTGTGGGTGTTGCGGTACGGGACAACGGGGTCAGATGGTGGCCACCGGTGTTGCGGTCCGTGCTAGCACTGCATTATTTTGCGTGACCTGGATTCTCTATCCTGAACTGAGCTCATATCTCCGTCTATGATTAATTACCGTCTGAAGGACTGCTGCGCCTACTTGTTCCCGTGCCCTGTGCATCTCTCGCTGAGCCGTGCCATACCTAATGTCTGACCTGACCCGACCTGACCCGACCTGACCCGCGAACTCGCCTGTCACCTAGCCCATAACCGTGCCCCAAGCATATCTCGCTGAGCCATGTCATCGTCAGACCTGACCTGGCCTAACCCAACCTGACCCTACCCGTGACCCTTCCGTGACCGCGCCCGTGACCTGCGCCCGGTGCCGCAGTCGCTGACCCGTGTGGTGCCCGGCGTCGGCCTGCACTTAACGGCGATGCACGTGACCCTTCCGTGACCGCGCTCGTGACCGGCGCCCGGTGCCGCAGTCGCTGACCCGTGTGGTGCCCGGCGTCGGCCTGCACTTCACGGCGCTGCACGTGCTGCGCTCGGCGCTGAGCCATCCGCCGTCGGCGGCCGAGGCGCTCGTCATCGGCGGCAGCGCGCGCGCCCTGGCCGGCGCCGCCACCATCCCGGCCACCGTCGTCAAGACGCGCTACGAGGTGAGAGCCGGCCGCCGCCGCCGCCGCCGCCGCGGGCGGGTACTGTCAGGTGGCAACCGGGCGGGAAGGGGAGGGGTAGTAGTAGTTGTCATCCGTCGCTCAGAGGTTTTCCTATGTCTCGCGACCGCGTGGTGGTAGTCGGATGTATGGGATTGCCTCGCGAAGCTCAGTTTTGTTCAGACGTAGATGTTCATCAGAATAGGCTACGTGCGATGCCAGATACCGGTGCCGCTTCTCTGTATCTCCACGCGTTACAAGTTCACGAGAAATCTATTCGGAGCTCTGCCGTGCGCGCGCCTTGTGATCCCTTGGCAAAGCTCACCGCGGCTTCCCGTGCCAGCCGAGCTACAGTGACAGCGATCCGTCGTCGCGGAGTGATTAGTAATTAGCAATTAACACCAGCTGGGGTCTAGCTCCAAGGGCAGGCCAGGGGTCAGCGCCGGGTCACCGGGGCTGGGGTCGTAGAGGTCGTCACCGGGCGCCGACTTAGGTCTCCGGGCGCCAGCGGCGCCAGCAGCAACACCGGGCGTGGAGTCGACTCCGGTCTGGCGGTCAATGACCTCGCACGCCCGAGGCGTGTTCAGCGAAGGACGGCGGGAACGAGGTAGGGGGCGGAGAGGGGGAGGGACAACGGCCGCAGTAGCGCCGGAGCGGCTGAACTCCATGTGTGAACTCCACGTGGATGAGTGCACAGAGGCGGTGCGCCGGCGGGTCGCCGCCGACGCCGCCGCTCCTGTTCGGCGGGGCGTGCCGCGAGAGGAGACGAAAGGAAAAGGGAGAGTCGTGGCTGCGGTCGGACCGCCGCCGGCCGCGTCCCCTCTCTCCGCCGCCCGCTGACCGCCTCGCCGTCCGGCAGAGCGGCATCTACGACTACCGGGGCGTGACGCAGGCGCTGCAGCTCATCTACCGGACGGAGGGCGGCCGCGGCCTCACGCGCGGCCTCCTGCCCACCCTGCTGCGCGACGTGCCCTTCTCCAGCTTCTACTACATGTTCTACAGGTGGGTGCCGGCCTGGCGGCGCTCCCGGCCGCTGGCCGCCGCTCGCCCGGCCGTGTGGCGGGCTCGCCGAGGCTTGTGCGGCTGGAGGGGGGGGGGGGGGGGGGCGAGGGAGGGGGAGGTGACCGGCGGAAGGGGAGGTCTGCGGGATTGGTCGGCGGACTGGACACGGTCCAACTGCACAGTGGACGATGCCCCTCTGTGCCCTTTTGGCCAACAGGGTGGTTAACTGCGATCCCGATCGCTCCTTTTGCGTGACAGTGGTGATCACATGTCAGCACCCGCTGTTTGAGGAACAAAACCAACTTATCAGCGGAAGTCGTCCCTGGCATGAATGAAAGAAAGTACCGATTGGGTGTCGGCAGTGTTTGTGTACTTGAGCGTGGTGATCCGCCCGTCCAGCTGCGGAATATCCATGGCGTAAAACGTCCTCTGCTGGGTTTTCCCGGAGTCACGCGCTTTTGCCCGTGTCCTGTACGGCGCTTTGTCATACCATGCCGTGCCGTGCCGTGCCGTGCCTTACGGTGCCGTGCCGTGCCGTGCCGTGCCCCCGCGTCTGACCCGGCTCCTCTCGGGCCGCCCGGCAGCCAGACGCGGCGCGCGCTGCCGGCCGAGGTGACGTCCGGCCGCTGGTCGGACGTGGCCACGTTCGGCTGCGGCCTGCTGTCGGGCCTGATGGCCTCAGTCGTCACGCAGCCGGCCGACGTGGTCAAGACGCGCGTGCAGCTGGCCGGCGTGCCCGCCGCCAGCGGCGGCACGCTGGCCCAGGCCGTCATCCTCATCTACCAGGTGGGTGCCGCGCCCCGGCGGCGGCCGGCGCTAGTCACGCGTGTGCCGCGTGGGGGACGTTTGTGTCGCGTGATTGTCCTGTGATGTGTCAGCACAGCGGAGCACGGACACGGGCAGAGTGCTCCAACCCGCGGGTGGGTTGAAGCACTCTGCTCTGGTCGGCTTTTGGAGGTGGCTGCTCCGCGGCGAGCCCCCCCCCCCCCCCCGCCCCCTGCGTGCAGCCCCGGCTGATAGGTAGAGGGGCGCGGAGCGCGGCGGATCAGCTGCAGGTGTAGGAGGCTGGCGAACGGCGCGCGGGCGGGGCTGATTCTGCGGGTGTTCGGAGTAGCGTGGTTGTCGGCGCTTGCGGTCTGGAGTCGGCATAGCGAAGGCGTCCGAGGATCGGGCGTGTTCGGGTGGTGAAGGTTTGCGACACCCCCCCCCCCGCCCTCCCCCCCCAATCCGACCTCCTTTGGTTGGCAGTCTCCCGCTCTTCCGCAGAGTGCCGGTTGGGTTACGCCACGCTGTCACCACCCGCCCCTGCCTCCCACCCCCGCCCCTCCCAGCCGGATAACAGAGGCGCGCCGTGCCGACTAAGCCGGGCCCCGGCTCGGCCGCTCCCGCGCGGGCGCCGAGAGACGGGAGACAGCCGCCGCCGTCGCCGCCGCCTCTGACGTCACGGCTCGGTCTGTCGCCGTGCGGACGACGTGTTGGCACGGCGGCCGCCGCCGCGTGGCCGGCGGGCCGGCCCGGGCTGGACCGCCGGCCTGTTGCTGCCCGCCCGAGCACCGACCCGGCGTCGAGCGCGGCGCGTGGCTGGCACTACGGCCGACTCGGCTGCGTCCGACGAACTCTTCCGCCCGGCACGTCGCTGCTGGTTGTTGGACGTTCGGTGTCGGCGGGCGGGGGGAGGGTTGGGTCCCCGCTGTTGCAGCTGCTTGTTGGCCAGCGGGCCTCCTTCAAACGCCAGGCCGGTACGCTGCTTCCGGCAACGTGCGACGCTCGGCCTTCCGCGTGCGTTGATGATCGTCCAGCTGTTTCTAGAGCCGGACCGCACGGGCCCGGCGGCGGCGGGGTCGCCGCTCGGCCCGACCAGGCCGCGCCGACCGCGGGCAGAACACTGTGACGTGTGCCACGGGGTACAGAAGGATGTGGGCGGGCGTATCCTTCCTAGTGCCCTTGCCTTGCGTGGTCGTCGCTTGTGCTCGCTTCTCCTAGTTTTTGCGAGTGTGTTTTCGGTGGCGACGTTTGGCGCACCGTCGGGCTTTCAGAGGTTAGGACGCCGCGTTTTTAGGCACCGGCCGTATGCACCCGAGGCCTCCGAGCGCCGCGGGCGGGCAGTCCTGGGCTCTGTCGCCGTGCGCCGCGTTTTTAGGCACCAGCCTCGTGCACCCGGGGCCTCCGAGCGCCGCGGGCGGGCAGTCCTTGCCTCTGTCCCCGTACGCCGCGTTTTTCGACACTAGCTTTGTACACCCGGGGCCTCCCAGCGGCGCGGCGCGCAGCCCTGGGCTCTGTCGCCGCACGCCGCGTTTCTAGACACCAGCGTCGTGCACCCGGGGTCTCCGAGCGGCACGGCGCGCAGCCCTGGGCTCTGTCGCGACAGATGCGTCTTTGCGCAACAGCCGCGTCGAGTTTGACGCCTGGCGGAACACGCTTCGCAATTTCGCCCACGTCAGTGGCTCGTGGGGGCGGAGCAGGAGGCGCAGCCGCCCCAGCGCGGGTGGCCGGTGGCGCTGTCCGGCGGCCGCGCGGTCCGTCGGCTCCGGTAACGTGCCGCAGACCGGCGCCGGTCCGGTCTGTCGAGCGGACACAGTGACCTCGGCCGGAAACACGTGACTACACGTGACCGGAGCGAACACGTGCCCACACGCTGGGAACACGTGCCCCGCGCTCCGACAAGTGGACCCTCGGTTTTGAAGCGAAGTCTTCCTTGGAAATGAACTGCTAGGGCGCGGGGGGGGGGATTCAGCTACATCGTGTGTTGAAATTGGCGCTCGCTGCTGCGTCTGTGGTTCGCCGCCGGTACGCTGTCTGAAGCGATCCACAAATAATGAAATGAGGTGAGGTTCTATTGGCGATTAGCGTGACATGTTCGCGGAACTTAAGCTCTCAGTTCGCATCGGTAACGCTTTGTGTCAGCAGCCAATAAACACCCTGTCCTCGTCTCGCTCGTGAAGGTCTCGATTCTGACAAAGAGGCGCGGTCAGCCCTGTTGCCCCGTCGCTATGAATGCTTCCCAGCCAACCCTGCGTCGATCTGGGTCAGCTGGTGCAACGAGGGGCCCCCGAGTGGCGTGAGGGCTTGTGACGTCACAAGCCGACCAATCAGGCGTCGAGTGGGCGGAGACGGCCTTGAGCCCGGCTGACGGCCGGCCGAGTGGCGCGCGGATCACCCGTTCTTGGCTGGGCTGATGTATGGAAGTGGCTGGCTGTGTTCACCCCGTTTCAATAGCGCCCCTTGAGCAGAGTCACAGCACGGAGCCGCACGTGATGTTAGGCGGTGGTGCATTGCGCGACTGGAACGCGGCGTGGATCGGTTGAAGCGCACACCGCGGCCGTGAGTCAGGTCGTGGGTTCGAACCTGGGTATCGCCAGCTGTTTTCCGCCGTCTGACGCAATGCAGCCGTTGCCGGGTTTTTCCGCGTTCATGGCCGTGGAAGCTGTTTGCGTCGTTAAGGTATGGCGATTATGGATCGCGACAGCTTCGGCGGACCTCGCAGTGTGTTGGACGACGCGCACGCGACGCCCGCCAGTCTGGACGCAGCCCGCTCTCCGGGCCCGGCAGCCTCCAGCCCCGGGCGGCCCCGTTGGCAGCGGCGGCGGACCGCCGCGCCCTGCTGACCCGGCCACTGCGGTCTGCCGGAGCGGCGGCCGCGGGTCTGGGCACCGGCGGGTCACCGGGGCGCTGGCGGACGGCCATGGCCCGTATACCTAGAAGTGGGCTGCCCGGTGACGGCCGGGTCCGGCCATGTCACCTCTGGCCGCCGTCAGCCGTCAGCCCTGCGGCGGCGTCTGCCGCGCGCTGCCGAGCAGCCCCGCTCCCAGGCCACCCACGCGCGGCTCCGCTGCGTACCGCTCCGAGGAACCCGGCCGCTGCTGGAACGGACACCCTCAGATAGTGGCTGTTGGCGTTGGCGGCCGCTGCTAGAGGGCTGTTTTGCGGAAGTCTGGGCTGCTGCGTGGCTCCCACATCAGGTCTATCTGGCGCAGTAAACACCGCGGATTCGCTTAAATGTTCTATTCACGGATCAGTTGCATTCCTTGGAACGATCCGTTGATAGTTGCCTTCGCTGAACATGTCGATATAATTAGTTATGATTTGCCATCTTCTCGCACCGGACGCTCAATGTCATGACGTCATACAATAACGTCATCCGCGCGTGACTATCTGATATTCTGGAGGTCGACTATCGGTAACAAAGACTCAACCGAAAGGTGCAATTTTACCGTCGAATGGCTCCTGTAGTTGCGTTCCAGTGTGCCTGAGTGTAGGACATTCTACCTGTTCACTGTAGTCGGCGGTACGGGCGGCTCCGGCCGTGGTCCCCGGCTTGGCGGCTCTTGCCGTGGTCCCCTGTCCGGGCGGCCCCGGCCGTGGTCCCGGGCGGCTCCGGCCGTGGTCCCAGGCTTGGCGACTCTGGCCGTGGTCCCCCGTGCGGGCGGCCCCAGTCGTGGTCCCCCGTCCGGGCGGCCCCGGCCGTAGTCCCGGGCGGCTCCGGCCGTGGTCCCCGGCTTGGCGACTCTGGCCGTGGTCCCCCGTCCGGGCGGCCCCGGCCGTGGTCCCCTGTCCGGGCGGCCCCAGCCGTGGTCCCCTGTCTGGGCGGCCCCGGCCGTGGTCCCCGGTCCGGGCGGCCCCGGCCATGGTCCCCTGTCCGGGCGGCCCCGGCCGGGGTCCAACCCGCCGCTGCAACACGGCTGTGCGCGCCGCGTTCTCGTGGTGACGGCCGGGCGGTCACCACCGGCCGGAGGCGGTCTCCGGCCGGCTCCCGTGCCGGCTCGACGGCGCGGCGCGAGGAGTGCGGCGTGGCGTCGGGCGTCGTCAGCTGCGGCGCCTGCCAGGTCAGCGAGGGGGGGAGGGAGGGGGAGGGGAGGACACAGATGGCGGGCCTGTCGGGACGGCGTGTGTGGGGCGAGTCTGAGAGAGCGGGGCCTGTCTGTCAGCCGTCTATTTCCGGCGTGCGGCGATGCCCTGTTTGGCGCACGACTTGGCCCCGATCTGCCCCGTTAGAGCCGTCCAGCGTGCCCCCCCCCCCACCCCGGGCGTACCCCGTGTCGCCCCGTGGACGCCGGCCAACAGCGCCGCCGTCCAGCGGTCTCGGCTGACCTGGAGCGGAGCGCTGCGCGGCCCCCTGTGACCCTGCCCTGGATTCGGCCTTCTGAAGCCAGCTGTGAAGCCGCCTGGTTTTGTGCCCGTCGGGTCTCCGGCGCCCCCGGCGGGTCTTCCGTACGCCATCCAGTCGTCCTCTCTCGGAGGAGCTCCTTTGCAGTCTGGCGCTGCTCGGTCTCCTCGAACGTCACGCCCGGCATCCGCGCGCCCTCGCGTCGTCGGACTGCTGCCTCCCGTTCTTCCCGGACCTCGCGTTCTTCCACCACTCCGTCCACGCCGTGGTCTGGTCGCCTCGCACAGCCCTGGGCGCGTGGCGCGTACACTGTGCGTCTTGTCTTGTTTCTCACGCCTGAGGTCGCCGTCAGCGCCGCCGGCGTGTCACGCGGGCTGGCTCGACAGCGGGCGCCCGTTTGTCGGCCGTGTTCTCGCGCGTCGGCGGCGGTATTTGTTGTTCCACGGCCGTCCTGTCAATCCGGAGGAGTGCGCCTCGTCCCGCTGTTTGGTCTGTCGGGGTCTGGACACCGCCCCACCCTCGGCATTGGCCACGGCTGTTTTACCGGCCGGTTTTGTGCGCCGAGACGCAGCAGCCGCCCGTCCTCTGTTTACGGCTCCACGCGGCCGTTGGGGGGGGGGGGGGAGGGGGTTGGGGGTGCATCGGACTGACGCCAGGGCCGGCCTGTTTGCGCCGTCGGCGGCCGCTCCAGAGACGAGCGCGGGTCACGCCACCGCCGCCGGCGTGCCAGCAGGCCCTGCGTCGCCGCCGGCACGCCGCCGACCGCAGCTGGCGCCGCTCGGTCGGCCCGGCTGCGCAGCGTGGCGCTCGTCGCCACGTCATCGGCCTCGCGGCGGAAGTGCGCAGATGGATGCGGCCATATGGTTTCTACACGTGTTTCGGTTGTCCCTGACCGTGCGCAGTGCACACCGAGTACATCAGCGCAAAACTTAAATCTCGCGCCACTTCTCCACCGCTCAGCATTTGCGCGCGCGGCGTGTGTCCGCCGTCCGGGGACCGGCCGTCCGGTGTCCCCGCCGTCCGGGGACCGGCCGTCCGGTGTCCGCCGTCCGGGACCCGGCCGTCCGGTGTCCGCCGTCCGGGGACCGGCCGTCCGGTGTCCGCCGTCCGGGGACCGGCCGTCCGGTGTCTGCCGTCCGCGTCTGTTCCTGCAGCTGGCGGCGCGGGGCCCGGGTCTCCGAGGCCATGGCGGTCCGGTCCGTTCTGATAGCTTGTCAACCCTCCTTCCTGGCCTGTCCGGCTGGCGATAGCAG